ATGTTATGGTCAACAAATCATATTCAACATAGAGATGTCAAGAATATAAATAAAAAGTAAGAACAAAACTGCATTAAAAATGTTTTATCATCTCAGCTGATGACAGATTGTTAAAAAACAGTGCTGTGATTAGAAGAGAGCATTTCCCTCCATAACATGACATTACATCTGTCAACATGGCTGCCATTCTGTTACCATGACAAAAGGATGATGGGAAATGTATGTGTGTGCGCGTCCTCGTGCTACTGTTAATAATGGACAGTTTCTGACTTTGCAAGACATTATTATGAGAAAGCCAATATTCCAGTCCAGAATCCAACTGAACTGGGCCACTTAAGAATCTGACAATCTGCAAGAAAGAAGAGAATGGGATGGCATAAATCAAAAAGACATGCAGCAAAAAGAACAGACACAAATCCAGGATGACACAGGACACAGATGGCGCTAACGTTTGTTAGTGTTTTCTGCAGTCACACATGCACTGAGGTCCAGACGTGGAGGAGACGAGCATCCATGTACCAAACAATGTCTGACCAGGACCATGGTCACTGCCTTCAATAAAGTTAAATCTAATCCAGGGGTGGCCAAACCTTTGACTCACAGGCCACATTGGGCTCTGAAGTGTGACAGTGGGCGGGGCTAGGACAACAATAATAAGAATATCCACACAAGAATACTTTTAGCCTTTGAGTGACGCTGTATTCTTCTACCGCAAGAGTTTCTTGGCGTATCGGACGTACAGTCGTTGGTCGGACTGCAGTGAAAACCGACGTACTTTGTCGTCCACTCCTTATTAGATACTCGCCACTCACTGTCCACTTGTCTTTTCTTTGACCACTCGTTTTTACTGCATGGTTGCAAGTCCAAACAAAGTGAAACACTGAAGTCCAGAGTAATACTGTACACCTCACCTCTCAAACGCATCATCTATTGGGGAAACACAGGCATTGCAGGGAAAAGACAAAATGGCAGAAGTCTAATGATAATATGATTTAATCATGTAATTTGGACAAGTCTACAGAGTGGATTTTTACTTTGATTATATCCAATAATTCCACCTCTCATTGCTCTAATACAAAGTCAATCCTTGTGTTATTTTACACTCTGTAGGAAAGGGTTTCACTGAATCTCCTGGATCTTAACATCCCATCATCAAGTCATCATGCATTTATGGAGGTTCAACCTCAGGTCAGTGGCTTGGCTTGGGTCAGCGCAGCCTGACCGAGGTCAGAACAGGAGAAGCTGTTTTTGGTCATATTTATGAATGTAGTCGTGATTAATCGTGATTAATCGTAACTGTAATTATTTGCTGTGAAACCTGTGAAAGGCTTAATTTTCTGCTGTACCGAAGTGGCCAATGAAATGAGGCAAGTGGTACTGCACCTGGTACTGCAGTTCAGTTTATAGTCAGGACTTTATTGAGATGTTGGTCTGACCACAGTTATAATGTGCTGAAGTACTAATCTAAAAGAAGAGCGCCTTCTCCCACCAAAAACCGTCACTGCAGATATGCTAGAAAAACAAGTTCAAACCATTAACAGGATCATGAGGAAAAGCAGGAAAAGAAAAGATGAAACGAACACCAGGGTCAAAGAGGTCAGAGGACAAACTATTAAGAACAGAGAAGAGAAAAATCCTCCAGGTGTGTGTGTGTGTGTTATTTTTTTTCAGGGTGTGTAGTTTGGCTCTCCCACTCTCACCTGCTCGCTTTGAATCCTTTGAGCTTCTGTACAAAGAAAGCTTCCAGCACCTCAGCACACTGAAAGAAGGGCGTGTCGTTGGGGTTGTAGTATCGGCAGTTGTCGAAGATTTTGGTCACATCGGCCACGAACTCTGTGAGCTTGTGGTAATGTCGCTTTTGCAATCGCGTTTCCATTGTGGAGAAGTCTACAAGGGATGAGAGGAGCGTCAAACATCAGTGTGTCCTGACTAAGACAGTTAGGGTTAGGCTATTGCTAATGCTGCCTCTTACCCATTGGC